ACACACACACACTGGCCTGTGTGTGTGCGCCTCTTTCCTTTTTTCCTTCTCCTCCCTTCCACCAGTCCAATTCCATCCTCCAACTTGCGTCCGCCATCCCCCCTCCCACCTGTGTCTCTCGCCTCTGTTTTCCCATCTTTCTCCACACCTTTCCCTCCTCCACTGGGATGCACTTCGAGCTCCTGCTCTCCAATACTCGATGTCGCCCCACCAAATACAATCTCCTTTCCTTCCTCCTCTGCCTGTGGCTCCTCCTCTCCTAACTGCTCTCTCTCCAACACCTGCATATCCACATTTACCATACGCCTCTCATGCTTCAGACTCTTTGCAATTACCCTCCTCATTCCTTTCCTTGCCAGTTCCCCCTCCCTCCAGCCTGAGATCCTCTCCCTTGTCTGGGTCCCCCTTGACGACCTACATTTCTACCATGTCGCCTTGGCCTTCTTTCCCCTGCACTTCATCGGTTCCAAGATTCTCACCCCGATTGACTGATTCCTACCCTCTCCTCGTCTCGATCTCACATGCTGACCACCAATCCACGATGCCCATCCCATTGTTCCCACATTGGGTTCCTGACCTACATCCTCCTCCCATTTACTTTAGGACCCTCCTTGACACCTTCCTCCACAGTCTCCTTAAACCACCAGTACTTGGCCCAACTATCGGCCGCAGAAACAAATAGAGTAGAAGTGTTTCTAGTCGGATGAATCTGGGCGCTCCTGTAGTAGCCGATACGTTTCCTAAAATCGTGGCACGTTAACGGGCATGACTTTAGGAAGTAGTGGTGGTTTAACGCCGGCACCGGCAATCTTGCCTTGCGTTCTTCACCATATCCCGGGGGCTCTCCTTTGGCTTCCTTTGTCATCGCATCCCATCCTGACCGATGGAATCCCAACATTCTAATCCCCCTTATTCGGCATCCTCCCCCTCTCCCTTCATCCCACCATTTCTAAGGCGACCTCCTCCAACCTACCTGACCACTTGACCTTCCCTTAGTGTTCCCTCTTCCACTGCCTTTCCGCATCCACAGCTTGATCCCCACCTACTTTCGATAGAAGCCATGAACAAGCCCTGTTCCACATGCAACATGACACCCCCACAAACAATGTAGTTGCAGCCTAAACATGGGCGGAGGAAGAAGGAAAGGAGGTTGTAGGGACGGAGTGAGAGAGAAATACAGAGGGTGGACTTTGAAATCCCTGGGTGAACCCAACAATTTGGTTTGCAGGTCGAAAGTGAACGGAACTCTCCACCCCTTCACGCAGAACACCACTAAGAGAGAGAGAGAGAGAACGTAGAATATTTCTCTTTGTCTCCTAAGTAACCTCTGGGCTACTGACCGGAATGCAGGGTCGTTGGTTGTCTCACTCTGGGCCATACAACTGACCCTCCCTCTGCTGCATGCCTGGCCCTCTTCCTGAATAGCAAGAGAACGGGAAGAGTGAGGGAGAGAGGGAGGGAGGGCACGTTCGGGGGGGCAGGGGGGAGGGAGGGAGGGTGGATTTTGCCATGCAGTGCGGACTGTGCAGGGCGAGAGGGAAGTGTTTGAGGGGGAGAGAGAGGGAAGGAGAGGGGGAGAGATAGGGGAGAGGCTGGACTTCAGCACGCCCATTTGCACACAGCTCAACTCTGGTTCGCCTGCCTACTCCTTTCCCAGCAGCGCTGACCAGCACGGAAAATCCAGACAGCACTGCCCCGAGAAAACAAATGCGCATTTGGAAAGCCAATTTGCCTAACTCAGTTGGCACACCCATGAACTGTTGAAATACAGGCATGAATCCTTTCTCAATTATCTAGGCCCAAATGAAAACCTAAAAAACATACTTGCGGCACACCAGTGCGCAGCGCGAGGCGGTGCCGTGGGCAGTGCGCTGGAATTCACGCACTGTGCGCTGTACGCAGTGCGCACTGCGCAGTGCCGTGCGCAGTGCACAGTGTGCGCACGGTCGAAGATGCGCCAGGTGCACGAAATAAAAGTATATATATACGAGCAGGGTTACCTGACCGAACGTTCGGGGCCCCCCGGACTGGCCCCCGAACATTCGGGCGCTCGGGGTTCCGTTCGGGGGCGGAACACCTCCAGGTTCGGCCCCCGCCAAAAACAATTTCGGGGCCTAAAAGTAAGTTTTTGTTTGTGATTTTGTTTTTGTGAGTTCTCTATGATGTAACCTACACGCCTATAAATTTTGAAGCCATTCTGCTAAGCCAAAAAAACATAAAAATCATCAAAGATGGGGGTGTCAAATCGTGCTCGCCCACTCGCTATTTTGTTTTCACTTTATTTCGGGGCCTAAACAATTTTATTATTTAAAAAACATAAAATAATGAGTTATTGATTAGGTAAACTACATACCTGTAAATTTTCAAGGCATTTGTCAATGCCAAAAAATAATTAAAAATCGGCAAAGATGGCGGTGTCGAAAAGGTGCTGGCACACTCACTCATTTTAATTCTCTTTTTGTTTTTTCTTATTTTTATCGTAGTGTTTATTTTCTGTATTTGAATTTTAATTCAAATTTGGTAGTGCCCAGGCAAATGTTGTTTAGTTTAGTTTTTTTCCGGAATTTTTTGAAAGCTTCGTTGCTGTTGGTTTTTTTTTTTGGTCCGGTCCCGTACGTTCGGGCGTTCGGCCCGTCCCGAACGCCGGCAACCCTGTATACGAGTATATAATTTTTTTTTTTCGAAGAAAGTAAAAATAATAAATAAAGCATTTATTTGTGCCACAAAGAGAGAGAGAGAGAGAGAGAGAGAGAGAGAGAGAGAGAGAGAGAGAGAGAGAGAGAGAGAGAGAGAGAGAGCAAAGGGGTTCCCTTTCATCAATTCAGGCCCCCCTGCAGGTAACTCATATAACTCCCACAATGCCCTTCACAACGCACTTCAGCACTTCAGCATTGTGAATGGATTGGTTGCGGTCGCTTGAGCAAGCAGGGTGGCCGCATCATAATGAGAGAGGTGGGAGCAGACCACCAATATATTCTGTGGGGGCGAGTTCAGGTCTGTATGGGTCACCAATTCAGCTAGACCCTATTTGTGTCTCCACGTGATTCTCAGGGCCTAGTGCCACCACTCAGTGGTACTCACCGAATGAATAACATCTGAATGAATCTTCTGCTAAAACATCGAGCCATACGATCTTCTGCTAAAACATCGAGCCATACGTCGTCATATGGTATGTCTTTTGTGGATGTGGTGATTAGTGGCCAGAGGGACCTTGGGCCACTACGTATTCAGAAGAAGACAAAAAGGAAAAAACGAGAGAGCTACAGGAAACTTCGCCGCCACTGTACGTATTCAGAAGAAACAAAAAGAGAAAACGAGAGAGCTATGGGCATCTTCTTCCTAACCCATAACTGCCAACATGCAGACCTGAACGCCAAACTTCAGCATACGTTGGTCGTTGGCTGGACTTAGGAAACATTAGATGTGCCATCTGCTAGACAGCGTGACCACAGCAATACGGGGCAACTATGCCCTTCTTGCAAATTTGTCCACCTCTGCGTGGGATTTGCAGAAGGAAAGGGGAAGTCCAGTTATCATACCCCACCCAAAAAGGAAAACCTAGAGGCTCAATGGGCCCTATTTTCATAATCAGGAATTTTGAAATTTGTGGGGTAGCAGCCCTGCAGAATTCAGAATTCGCCAACCCTTGCCCAAAAAATGCTTTTTGGGCCAAGGGTCGCGGACATTTTCCGAACTCGCGCGGCGAGTTGGACATTTTTCCCAGGGAGGGTGCTATAATAAATTACGGAACCCCTACTTTTTTTTTTTTTTACCTTAATTTTTCTGGTGCGCTGCGCACCAAGGTGCGCCGCAACTATGCTAAATGCAAAAAACGCTGGGCCTCCCGACGCGACTCACCAAATATGAAACAGACAAAGACGTTCGGGGTGTTCCGTCACCAAAGAGGCCACAAAAAAAAGGACTGACAATGCAAAAGAAAAGGAACAAAAGCGGCCTGCAGTTTTTCTTGCGGTTAGAATTGTCTCGCGGCACTTTCCCAGTTGCATTTTCTGCGATACCCTCAATAGACGGGGGAAAGCGCACTGCTTATCCAACGGCCGATCACAAAGATGTACAGAATCCGGTCGGGATGGGTGACGACGTACCGTTACACCCGGCCGGGCCGGCTGGAAGAATTATAATGGAATGTAGTCGATTCATTTTTTTATTTTTTTTATTTTTTTTTAAAACAGGGCCTTATGGTCCTGACTCCTTCCATTCTGGGGAGCGACAGACCGGTTCCTATTCTACCGGCAAGTCAAAGTATGATACATCACAGCAACCAACTCACGCTTCCTCCCGTCTGGCCTGAGGACCCCTGAACAGCATTGATTGTTCCACGTTGGGTGGAGGATTCACTGTCAGCTTGCCCGGAGTTCTGCCATATGAAAAAGTCAGAAAAAAACAACATTTGACCCACCCACAGCAAACAGCAAGGTGTGGACAAGTCGGCAGAGTGTATTCCAGAATCACATTCGCACTAGCAACAAGCGGAAGGCAAAAAAGGACGAACAACGCATCATGCACACATACTGAGGCGATTCATGTGAAGCCCAGCGCGAACACTCGCTCGTCGAGATGGAAAGCCTGTTCCGGATAGAGCCCCCTGCAGATAACCTGCAAGTGCAGAGAATGGCGCATAGCCATCCTTGCAATGGTTTTCTTAGTTAAGTTGCATCAGCCACCCAATACGGTCAACTTTCATATGGGACGCTGGGCCCGGTTCCCAACACGTGCTGCTCCCCACGAATAGATTGGAGTCTTCTTCCCCCCCCCCCCCCCCCCCCCCCCCCMAAAAAAAAAAAAAAAAAAAAAAAAAGGCCACCCAATCGGTGTACCGGAAAGGGACCTTTCCGAAAAACCATAACTTTTTTACCTACCACTCTCAGAGAAGAAGAGCCAGCAACCTTTAACAGAAACAGAAGCTTAAGGATCTAGAGGGGGTTGTCAATGATCAACCCTCTCACTTATCATTTGAATGATGGTTGAACAGGAATAGCACATTGGGCAGCCTAACAGCCAAAGCATTTCAGACCTGACATGCACATGCATCTTTGCATCGACTCCATAACAGTCAGAACTCCGGTAACCCCATTTCGTCTGTGACTGGACGACAACAATTTTCTGACACCAAAGAGAATACAAATATCACCTCTGACACCAAAGAGAATACAAATATCACCTCAAGTTCGAACTTGGTTGAAAACTCCTGGCTTCACGTTGACATAAACAATAAAAATGAATGCTTTGTAACCCTCCACCGGGAGGTACTCACCAGCACAGACAGTTCTTCTCGGGAACAGCTTAAGATTTCACAGTGACAGAGAACTTCGGCATCGAGCGTAAGTCGTCCTCGCCTTTCCAGCAACGTAACGTGACGCGTTGAGCTGATAAATGCGGCAAAACCAAGGAACAAAACTTTCTCTTACCCCATCTCAGGCATCAGACCTACCACAGAACCGCAGAGTCAGTGCAGACCAATTCACCAATTCTTAGGACTTGGCATACACAAATTTTGTCCTCCAAGCAAACAGATGAATCCACAAATTGTACACAGACTACAACGGGCAGCCAGTGGAGACTCCTAGCATTGCAACACTTACAGCTCCTCACGGGTGAAAGATTATAAGTCTAAGACCTAAGTGTTATGACTAGGGGAAACTGTTAACAGATTACACTCTTCACTCTACGGCCTCTCGGTTATTACTCTTCTCCTCGCTACATTTCATCCTCTGACTGACCTCCAAATGCAAGACACTGTCGAAACGCACCTGTCTGTCCTTCACCGTGGTCTGCTTCAAAAACACTGCATGGAGACGAGGCATAGTGCAGTGCTCAGAGATCAAAATCTCGTCTCGCGCTACCAGCTCCCCGACAGAGACCACAACAACGCGCACGAACGACTCCTCTGCCTTACCTCCAAACACGAGGCTCTACCGAAAAGCAACTGCCATCGACCGTTCTCTGCCTCAAACTTACGCAACCGAGACAAGGGATCCGTGCATTGCTCCGCGATCAAACTCGTCACGTACTAATAGCTCCCGGACAGAGGCCACAACGAAGTAGACCGCCGATCTCGTGCGAGGTTACACATATCATCCACCAGATGTTTTCCAAAACCCTCGACGAAAGGAGACTATCTGGTCAGATAGCTGTCTGCCATACCTCTGCTTGCAAGAGAAATGGGAACCTTGGAGGTATGTACCTGTCAAGGAGAAGCGCACAATCAAAGACTTTGCTTCAGACGCCAATCTCCATCCTCCCTCGTACAAAGCCAGATAATGTAAGTACTGACCACCCGGATTACTTTACCTCTTTCCGACACGGAAATAGACTGCTTTGCACCTTTCAGACACTCAAGGCGGTCACTCCATATGACTAACAAATCGAAATACGCAGCATATGTCAGACATTGCAAGAAGGCAGAAGACTGTGTAGACCGCTGACAAACAACTTGAAAAGAGAAAAGAAGACAAAACAGGGTAAATGAGCCACGCATTGAAAATGGAACAATACAGAGAAGATAAGCCTGGCCCCTGCGCAAGGGTGACACACATAAATTGAGACATGGTCCAAATTCGTAAAAGGAAAGGGAAAAAAAAAAAAAAAAAAAGGAACCACAGGAACATGAAGATAAACAAAAATATAAAAACATGGGCCATTCGTCTCAATGATGGCATGTAGAAGCAGTCGTCGTTTTACAGAGAAAAAAAAAAGAAAGAAAGATGAATAGCATGGTGGCATTATGAAGATCCACTTCACCGGACAGTCTGCTTCATGGCAGATATGGTCAGCAGAGAAAAGCTTGGCGGAGACGTGGAAAACGGAACAAAAAACCTGATACAAGCAATAATAATATCGCAACTTTTGAAAGTACATTTGCAAAGAAAGCAGTGGAGACACAACGAGTAGAAAAAAAGAAAGTGCACTCCTTTGGGTCATCCGTTAAAATTGGAACGATACAGAGAAGATTAGGATGGCCCCTGCGCGAGGCAGAACCGCATTAATCGAGAAATGGTCCCAAAAAAACAAAAAAAAACTCAAGAAATATCATTTAAACCACCACCACCTCCAAGACTCCAACCCTCTTTTTGCCGCCAGCCTTTGTGGTCCGGTGGCACCCAGCCTCCGCCAGCCTCCGAAGAATGCAAAGTAGGCTACTTGGCAGTGGTGGTTTAGGCAGGGTTGTCGAGCCCCGGTCCCAGGGCCCCAGCAGGGGTCCGGGGGTCCGGGAGTGGGCACCCTTGGTCGCTGCTGGACGTGCGGGGGGCGGGGGTGCGGGGGGGTGGTGGGGCAGGAATGCAGGGACGGGGGTGCCGGGGTTGGGGCAGGGGCGGGTGTCAAATGGCGGGGTGCGGGGTCAGGGATCCCCACGACGAGGGTCCGAGAATGAAACTCTTACCCCGGCTCACCCCAGGTGACAACCCTGGTTTAAGGACTCCAGAGTGCATCACTAATATATGCCCCCGACTCATGCAGCAAAACCTACTTGAAACTACCCGCCGCCAATCAAATCCCAGACTCATACTTGCCTATCTTGTCTTTCAGGGCATTGGATTCAATAATTTCATCTAAGACATCCAGCGTTGTTAGAATTTAGAATCTTTGTATGTAAAGTGACTTCAATACATGGCAAGATAAACCTTTTTTGAGTTCTGTTCCAAACCATCGGAAATATATTTTAGCAATATTTTACTAGATAATAGTAGAATTCCTATATTTTTGATCTCTGGGTCCCACATGTGTAAAGATTCCAAAAATTCCAGAATTCCAGCAGCCTAGTTCAGTTGGTAAGGCACACAAGTGGCATTCAGGAGATCTTGGGTTCAATTCCCATTGGCCTCATGTACCTTTCCGGGCAAGCTTGGTGCCCGCCTTTGGTCCCCCCGAGTGGCATTTAGCAGAGACTGCTGATGTTCATACGGGGAGGGACCGGAGGGGAGGCACAGCGACTGGCCCATCGAAGAAGCTCGGTCCTGATGCTACCGGCTGACCCCTGGCCGGTATTGCACCTGTTGGTGGGTGCAGTTCCCGCATGTTCCTTCGTTGGAGGCTTGAGCACGGATATGGCTGCTACGGGGTTCCCCGTAATACTATAACGAGTCATTTTAATGACAATAAAAAAAGGCCTGAAAGGCCGTCCTGTCCAGATCTGACAGGTGGTCGAAAAAAAGATTCCAAACAACTTATAAATAATGAGCTAAAAGCAAATGAACAGTATCTTGTGTGCATATAATATAATGCAGAGTTTGGTGGCTTTTGCTACCTTGCAGGCCCACTGCTTCCTTCTTCAATGGTGGCGCACAAGTTGTGCACCCGTTTCAGAGCAGTCCTACAGCTCATGCTCCACTATCAAAGAAGGATGCAGTGGGTTGGCAAGGCAGCAAAAGCCACCAAACTCTGGATTTATATTAACCATTCAAGATACAATTGACCAGCTCCCATCCTGAGATCATCCTCTGCTGAGGGGCTACATCCACATCATCCATCTGCAAATCAGGGAGAGGGAATTTGAAAGGCAGTAAAGGACGATGAAAGTGACATTTACCACGCGATTGCAGCTACCGTCTTCCCCCGATCATAACGCACCCTAAAAATGAATGTCTACGAGCTATATTTCTGGCCAGATACAGTCAGAATGAGGGTGCGTTGTGTTCGGGGGAAGACGGTAGGCCTCACACACTCAAGTGCAGTCGTATATTGTGTGAAGAACATTTAGCAAGTGATTCCAGACAAAGACAGAAGACGATCTCTTTGGAAGTTGTAGCAGCACAAAGTGACGCGTGAACAGATGACAATCTCGATGAATCATGTAACAATACAGACTGATGACAAGGTAGAGGATCGAATCATATATGGAAGTGACATTTAGCAAGTGATTCCAGACAAAGGACAGAAGATGATCTCTTTGAAGGCTGTAGCAGCACAAAGTGACACGTGAGACGACAACAATCTCAATGACTCATGTAACATTACAGACTGATGACAACATAGAGGAGGATCAAATCATGCATGGAAGTGAGGTGAAACTACCATCTTCCCCCCATCACTTTGCACCCTCATTCTGACTATACGGACCAGAAAGATGGCTTGTGTACATTGATGAGGGTGCATTGTGCTCGAGGGGACAAGATAGACGGCATCTACAGGTAGTGAGCTATCTGCAAACGGTCGAGGTTTCACAGTTGTATCGGAGAGTAGTGGGTCCTGCCTGCGAACTGAAAGCGCTACCCTCGCAACACTCAGAGCCATCACCAAGTAATAGGCTGTGAACTCGAAGCCTCCCTCACAATTTTCGGAACCAAAAGGTCACCTCATAATCTCACTGTTACGGACTCCGCCAGGGGGCTCGATCCCTGGTCTGCGGGTTACCACCCGCCAGCTTGCTGTATTTATTCCTTTTTGTTTTTTTTTTAACGATTTTTTATCATTTTTCTTGTTTTCTTTTTTTTGTTCTTTGTTTTGCTTTTCTGACTCTCCTCTGACTTTTGGATTTCGGACACCTGGCGCCATCCCACATTCTGGCGCCCACTCTCAGAGTTTCGATTTTCAGTTCTGGCCCTGAGGCTTTTTCACTTTTGCCCTCAGGACCGTACTTGAGTCCGGTACCTGAGTACGGACTCGAGCACAGTACAGCAACCACTTTTGAGCCTCAGTGCTTGTGTTCAGTGTGAATTTACTTCGACGTTGTATTCAAGACTGCGACTTTGCAACTTTGCCACTTCGTGTCTGTGTCTGTCGAGTCGTGCCGAGTCTGCGTCGAGTTGAGTGAGCGTGTGTGCTATCCTGTCCCCCACTCTCTCTCCCAGCCTCGCTGCTCTGCCTCTGCCTCGTCACACTCACGAGCATTCGCTCGCCAGATGTCGAGTTGCAAACAAAGATGTCAGTCTATGATCTTGATAGCGTAAGGATCGGTTTTGGCACAGCAGAAGGCACACATGCATACCCATCCAATGTCGTATCTCTTGAAATATACATGAATCGTTACCTCCCTTAACAGAAATCGGGGTGGTAAACCGAGGAGGAGCACTTATCTGTATTCTCCAGCTCTTAGTGCTCAAACCCCGCCGCAGCTCAGCACCTCCACATACAAGTACTTCACAATACCTCTCCCTACCCCTTTCCTCTTTCCTCTCCATTTTGCTTCTGTCAATAAACCAGATCAGTCCCAGGGACACAAGGGAGAAGAGGGTTTGGGAGACAGCAGGGAGAAGCCTGGGCACAATGCTGGGAAGACGGCTGCAAGAGATTAAAAGAAAGCTGGGGAGAAGCTTGGAGAGAAGGCTGAGAACAAGCCATGGGGACAATGCTGAGAACAACGCTGAGCCTTGGGACAAGACTGAGGAGAGGGCTGGGAATACGGGGACAACGCTGAGGGTGTGGACGAGGCTGGGAAGAGGGCTGTGAGGGACTACAAGAACGCTGGAGACAAGGCTGACGAAAAGGCTGGGGACAAACTTGGGGAGAAGGCTGGGAAAGGAGGCGCGGGGGCAAGGGAGGGATGCGGACACACTGAAGATGTCTTCTTCAACAGCACAAACTCTGACAGAGGGTGTGTCTGCAGGTTGCCGATGTCCCTGGCAAACAGTGCAATTGACATCCCATTCTGAGGTTACTCTATCTCCACACAACAATGTTCCTTGCCACATATTTGCCGTGGCCCTCGGTTTTAAAATTCTCGGCACAGCACCCAACACCTGCTCCCTATATATCATCTGCTCCACATTCATTTGGTGGGCGAATCGGTTAGGGAAAAACAAAGTGTGCCCCTGGGAGTCGCACACAACTTGGAGCATGCCAAGCACAGTGTGATGCACCTCCGTTTTCATCCGTCTTTAAAGTTTAGACCCACAGTACATCCAAGTCTCTTTTTCCCCATTGGATGTCGGCTGATCGCCCAAAAAAACAAACCAGTGCAAGCACCTTTTTTTTCTCGACCCGGTACACCCAGCCATTTCATTCCGATGGGCAAAGCCCGAAAAGACACAGCGCGTTAAAGCGCCAGTCGATCGCACAGGCACTTGAGAATCGAAATCAAGCCCATTCAAAAATTTTGGGGGCTCGGGGCTACCGGACCACAATGGCAGGAGGCACCAAACAAAAAAACGAAAAACAAAAGTGTGCCACCGGCAATTCAACAAAGCTTGGCAAACAGTGCAAGCCCGCCACGGCAAACAGAGGCTCGGATGTACTGATCCTTTAACACCCACGAAGGAACAAAACAGCTGGAAAAACTACCGCTGGATTAAGAAGCAGGGGACAATCAATGCATTTCCATGACTCAAGCAACACAGGCTGCAGACAATACGCATCATACGACACGATCACCATTTGCGGCTACCCCCTTCTACAAAAAAGCCCGAGTCCACCACTGTGGCTGAATGCTACACACAGATTGTTGATCAGGTGTTCAAATCCTGACGGAACCAGATACGCATAACAACATTTGTGTCTACCCCCGTCTACAAAAAAGTCCACTGCTGCGCACACAAGGTTCATGCCGACTAAACCCGGCATGTATCTACCGTCTTCCCCCGAACACAACGCACCCTCATTTTGGATGCACCTGACTGGAGATATGGCTTGTAAACATTGATTATCAGGGTGTGTTATGTTCAGGGGAAGACGGTAGCACTAGAAAAGCCACTGGACAAACAATTGTCAACCATCTGGTTTCCTTGTGTTGTGGTTCTGGTTCAGGCTACCATACCTGGAGCATGTCATCCACCATGTACCTCGGGAGAAGTGCCCGTCGCTCCTCCTGAAGGTCGATCAAAAGAAGAAGCAACCAAAACATACACATGAAATGGGATCATCGTCCAAGGAACTGCATTCAAACATCCAAAAATCCCAGTCCTCAATCCGCAAGTACATTGGTTAACAAAGATCATATGAATTTCGCCGCCACCAGTAATGATTATCATGCCGATCATCAGATCCACCACAAGACCGTCCACGACGTCGGGAGCAAACAATTTTACAATTTTTCCGAAACCCTTTCGTCCTTTGGGCAGTCTGATAATAGAGGAGACATTATCTAAAGAACATGATCATAACCGCAAAACCAAACGGAGGACAAACTAAATAATTCAAAAGCAGCAAAAATGCAGATGTTTCTTTTTCCTTTTCCCTTTATTTTCTCCTCCTACTCCTACTCCTCCTCCTCCTCCTCCTCCTCCTCCCCCTCATCATCCTCCTCCCCCCCCCCCTCCGATTCATACCCCCACAGCATTCATTGCAGCGTACTTGTCACAACCACACAGCTTGGTATACCACACAACATGCCGTTTCAGGGCCTTCACGGTGCCACAGTAGCCTCTTTCCAGGCCAGTACTACCAGGCTTGGCGGGCCTTCTCTTCAGAATGTTCTTGACGCCTGCTGAACCCAGCATTCATCAGCGCCAAAAAAAATTCCCCGAAGTTCAGATGGCCACGTGCAAAGAAAAAGAACAAAAACAAAAGACAAAGACACAAGACGAAGCATCGCAAAAACAGAACAAAAACAAAAAAAAAGCAACCCATGCCCCAAACAGATGCTCAGATTGTATGCCACATGGCACAAGCAGATCCTGCACAGGCTTTGCCAAACACCCGTCAGGCTTCCAGGCGCAAGGTATCTACATGTGACCTATCATTGTGCCACACCACCATGGACACGACAAGTGCAAGCGGCTACACACATTCAGCAAAGTCACAGATTCGGGTATGTGTGTCGAAGTACCCAAAATTGGATTTTTTTTATTGATGCTACGGACTAAAGGTACTTGTCATGCCTCTTGGTAATTCTGTCCCATGATTCCCATCCAACTTCCATATCGCGTTTTCGACGAGGTTGAGGAAAGGCAAGTGGCTCCACACGCACTCAGCACGTCGTGGATTCAGGTCACTGAGTACAACTACTTGGAAATTACGAGTTTCCATTGATGATGTGGACTGGAGGAAGTACTTGCCATACCTCTTTCCAACTTTCATTCATCTAACTTCAATATCACATTTGCACAAAAAAGGTTCGAGAAAGCCTCGGACTCACCATGGACATCTGCTCATCATCCCACACCAGGTAGACTTCACTACAGGTAGGCGGAGGAAGTGGAGGCCTTGGTATCGACACAGGAGGACCAATAGATGCACCTCCACTTGTCGTGGGCCCTGCCGCATACACGCTGCTCGCTGTAGATGGCACTGTACATACATGGCACCAGCCCAAGATGAAGCAAAGCAACCAGGCACATTATTAGCTAAGAGATAACCACACCGCCTTTAACTAGAGTTACTTGACTAAACCAAACAGGCATTGTACGCAGAAACGCTGAGGGAATGAGAATGATGGATAGGTAGCTTTTCACAACACCCATAGCCCTCTCCACTACCGTCTTCCCCCGAACTCGACGCACCCTAATAATGAACGTATACAAGCTAGCTTTCCGGTCCCATATAGCCAAAATTAGTTCCAGTTGTGTTTGGGAGAAGACGTTCGCAAAACTTGGCATGCCAACTTTCCACCTTCATGCACTGTTGCTCATTTTATCAGGGCCAAGACACACTCGTGCTCGGCCACAGCATTAACTATGAATCTGGTCATGAAACTGCTAAAAGAACGGTGACAGAGCACAGACAAAGCATATCATTTGGCCATGGTCATCAAGGCCAGGCCCCCCTGGGGGCATTGAGCTCAAGCTAATAAACCGCAACGCTGGTCATGGAATGGCAAGCTTCATTCTTAACCTAGCACAAACATTACACAGGCCAGATACACCACACTGGGAAGCAGCATCTGCAACTCCGCCAGTGCTAGGTTCACCGTTCATGTACATAATCGCCTTCTCTCAAACAGAACATACAGTCTTTTCTTCCTTTTTTTTTTAAGTGTGGGACTATGGACAGCGGATCAGATATAAAACTGACAAGAATAGACATACTACACTTGAACTTAGTCAAAAGGTCGAGAAAGAACGCACGGTCATTACGGCTGTACTCAGGGTAACTCAGTTCAGATACAGTGACAACGACGGTGCATTCTATTCAGTGGAAGACGGTAAGTATAAGCGTCACCATTGCCACTGCCATCGTAATTTCTGATATCAACAAAGCATCAGAGGGACTCCAAACACAGGCACAGAGCAAAGTCGATACATGGGCATGACGCACTGTCAGCCGCATACCCTAAAGCCCAGGATCCATGGGTCCCATCTTAGAGCCAAGAAAGCAGAAGCCCGGTCACAAAACGGCAGCAGCCTTTATACTAGTCTACCACAAAATGTCGCAGTCCGAACACACTCCTGCAGCGAAACTCCAACTACTATTATGCGTACAGTTGTCAGCATCAACCTCACGACTGTTCACGGCCAGGATACCACGATCATGATTTCTGAAATAAGCATGGCATCGGACAGGCGCGAACCTCGAAAAATGGACACAGAGCTAGGTCCATGAATCTCATTCAATTCAGCTAGAATTGACACGAAACAAGGACCTTCCTCCTAATGCCTGCATAGCGCACACAATTACTCCCAGTTGAACCCAACCCTTAGAGAAGCTCCTGCAATGTCTTGACTAAGTAAAACATAAACCTCACCAGTGTTATTTTTATGATCTCACGTCTGCTATCAGTCACGGGCTGGACATTAAACCATGGCCTGGAAAGTGGGCAGAGTGTTAGATCCATAAACTTGATTCCGATCAGCTGTAACAAACAGGGAAGAGAAAAATTCTTACTCCAATGATCGCACGTCTGCTATCAGTCATGGGCTGGACACTAAACCATAGCCTGGAAAGTTGGCAGAATGTTAGATCCAGAGACCTGATTCCGTTCAGCTGTTCCAAACAGGGAAGCGAGAACATTCTCCACTGTAATAACGATGAACCATCATCCTAAGCTTCAAAATGCAGAACCCAGCAAACTATAACTGGGAGATTTGACAACCTGTAATTGATGTATGAGGTGGGAAACAACCGTCCAAACTCACTTCCACGGAATGATAAAGGAAGAGGGGATGTTCTCCACTGTCATAACGACGAAACACCATCCAGCGGTTTAGAACGCCGAGCCCACCAAACTATAGCTGGGCTATGTATCACCCACGGCTGCGGCCGCGGAGTCAAGCTCGGAGGGCGGCCGAGTTCATGGCCGCGGTCGCAGCTAGGGTCAGCTGCATAATGGCCATGTTTTTCACGGATTTTTCCCGTCCGAAATAATAAGAAAAAAAATCATACTTGCGGCGCATCCTGTGCGC